CCATCATCAGGGCGATGAGTATGAAGATTTCCATCTTCTGGGTTGTTGCGCTGTGTAGTCTGGTCGATGTTCACCAAAGTTTCAGAGGTCATACTGGCTCCGTCATCAGGGTAAATAAAAATCTTGCCCTGTATAGGACAGTGGATTCGAGTGTTTCGTCTGTTGCCATAATGTGTGGGTTAGTATTCAGAATTGTGAGAAAATGGAATGCAAAGCAGCTCCGTGATGCAAAAGATTCACAATTCGTTCTTGGTACATGTTCCTTTTGTCTTATGTACTCTTCAGTAGTATAATCCAGTCTGAAGAGAAAGTTATCTCGGTGACTTTATTGCAGAACGTTACAAAGACTGACGAATATCGTCCAAACCATCGTCACATAACATTGATGTTAGACCGTGTCCTGCACGTTTCCTGTGAGAAAGATATTGTCGATTTGCATATCACAAGAGAATCGAGAAATGAATCTCTAAATTTGTTGCTGTGCGTTAAGGAAGAACGAGACGCCGGGCAGTGACGACGCTTAGCACTTGTGAAAAAGACGTCTTTGCACTTCGACTGTTGAAAGACAACTGACAGACTGGAGCGAGGGGGTTACAGCATGACGTAACCTCCGTGGGCGATAATCTGTGTTTATTAATCAAATCGAATCCATTGAATTGAAACCATAAATAAATATTTCAATACGGGTTTTGTGACTTTTCGACCACACTGTATTAGAAAATATGACAGATGCGATAATATTCGAATTGATATGAATGTACACGTTGTCAGTAGATGAAGTGGAATGCCTGTCAGTTTCTTTTATTGGCGGTGTCATACAGAATATTTAGGTCCTGTCTCCATGTTTTTAGTTTGCGCCAAAAGAGTCTGATATTTGTATTCGACGTGATACTTCGTTTGCAATATCAATTAAGAATTCCGTACCTGGGTAGTTAGTTGTCTTCTGCTAGACACTACCCAGTCACTTCTATATTTCCAGTACGTCACACAGTTTTCTGCGCAAGGTTGTTTCTCTGTACCTGGCAGGAAGCGATGACGAAATGACACTCTCGAGGATTCCCCCATACCCCGCATTTCGACACCGCTAAGCACTAGACGGATCATGTCACTGCCACAGTTAAGTTACACACTACTCTGAACACATCCACTCAGCTTCATAAATATTTCTTAACTTCACAAAACTGGATCGATTATACTCTTACGTCCTGTCTCCTGTTGGGTTCCTTAAAATCAAGAATTTCATGTGTTCAAATAGATCAGTGGTCTAGCGGTTAGAACGCTGGCCTTGTAATCCTGGGGTCTCGGGTTCGATTCCCGGCGGTGCCTGAATTTATAACTTGTGTTGGGCAAGGCCGTGGTCTAGGCAACACGGAGTTTTCCTCCGGGGGCTTTCCCGGTTTCTTCGTGGCATCCCAACAATTACTCCATTCACACACAGAAGAAGGCAATGGCAAACCACTTCTGGATTATCTGCCAAGAACGTATATGAAGAGGTCCCAGTCCGAGAAAAGGATGGAAGGATCCTGTTCATATGGACCTGTCGTCAGACAGAACACTAAATAAAATAAAATAACCAACAAAACACTTACGTTTACATTTATTTACAAAATTTATTGGACACAATACTGTGTTGCATTTAACGTTATGTCATAAATTCGTTTTACCAACCTGACAAAAAAAAATTCCAGTCTCTCTATTTTTTTTACTTGTAACTACCCAGAGACTTTTAGACATTCTGAATATATACGATATGCTAATTTTTTTCAGCTTTTAACATTCATAATTTAGAATTTGCATGTGGAAGCTCTGTGTATTCCAGTATAGATTACACACTTTCAGACTTTTTTAGACGAAACTCGGGTTCAAAGACTCAGTATGGTTATAGTCTTGA